CACAAAGGACAAATTCATATTTTACATTATTTTACAATAGAGTGAAACATCTTTAGTGTTTTTGCATCACTAAGAACTTGAGTCCCCACTTGAATGTCGAACAAGTAGCGAATATACATTGTCATCAAGATTTACGTCGATGTATACTTCGTCTTCAATTTCCATCAGACTTTCTAGCTCACTACGTAGTTCCGTAAAGGTTGGTCTGTGTTCTCGCTGGAACTCCCAACATGACGTCATGATCTCATATCTGCAATAAAGCACGAGRAAACATGAGCGATAACTTACTTATCAAGACTGATATGAACATTACGTGAGCTTTATTTACTTGTGGACTTACATTTGTTGACTGCACATGTCTGGTTTTTCCATTCGATAACCATCTTTAAGCATTTTACACAGATCTTTTCCTGAAATTCCAGGATAAGGACTGCCCCCTGTTTTAGTATTGTATAATGAGCTACTACTACTACATTGTTTTCAAAGCAATGCAGTAGAACATTACAATGAAATTCTTTTGAATCATCTAAATATCTGGTTACATTACCTAGCGTAACGATTTCCCAGAGTAAAATTCCATAAGACCATCTGAGAAAGCAATAACGGTTTACAGGAAAGTGAGTGATTGAGCGAGTGACACTTATATCATATCACACAAATATTGATAGAAGGTCAGTTAGAATGCTCTCCCACTCCATTCTCGCACCATTTAAGATTKCAGGAGTTTAAAATACTTACACATCACTTTTAGATGTATTTATATTCTCGAACAACGATTCAGGAGCCATCCATTTAAGAGGCAGTTTAGTAGAATTGGATGACTTATGATACTCAACACTCGTGTACACGTCACGTGTCAAACCAAAATCAGACACCTTCACAAGGTTGTTATCACAAACCAGAATGTTTCGAGCAGCAAGATCTCGGTGAACAAACTTCTTCTGTGATAAATACTCCTGGAATGATGGAACTACTGTTAAAAGGTCGACATAACGTGTAAAATGTAGTAAATGAAAAGATTTCAGCACCAACCATCCCGACAGCTATTTGTCTTGCGAAGGACATCAATTCGTTTTGAGTTAGTTCTTTTCTATCGAGGGTTGGGCTGCCTGTGGTATCATCTTCGGTCTCGACAGTGGGGACATTACCTAGAAAAATGCGGTAAACTGACCATCTGCAGACATGTCAACGGTACTAATGTACATATACATAGAGATTTCAGTTGAACAAATAGATAAAATTAGGGCCAAAACTTGAATGAGAACTCTTAATAACTTACATCAAATTACTGTAGGTATGATATCGGTTTTAAAAAACGAAAACAAACGGCCGTAAAGGTGTCTGGGAAAGCGTGACTCACCATTTGATCGACAKTCTTGGTAGTTAGTAAATTTAACCAGCATCTCATCTTCTCCCGCTACAATATCAACTAGTTGTTCATTGCTACTTTGTCTAAAAACTGGCAGAGGCGAAATRTATGGCGCGCTGCAATCGATTTGATTCGAGCMTTCAGTCGACTGGTGTTCCATTTTYTGGCTGGTAGGAAAATTGTAAGCGCTACTCGCCTGCATGTTCAGCTTGGTAGGTGTCAGCGGTTGTGCGAGTGATGCTGGAGGAGTGTTATCTAGAGGATTCCTGAAGGGGTTGGTGCTGTTTTCACTCAAGAAAGATTCACTACTCCCTAATACTCTTTCGTTGCAATATTCACCTCCAKTCGTTGACAGAGAGCGTAGTTTTGAACAGCTRCAGTTTCCAATACAAAAGCAGTTCCTGATAAAAACAATATATTGCTGACTTTTTAAGACATTTTGCACACTGGATGATTCATTTGGCGAGCTTTGAAGAGCATTCAGTAATGACCAAACGCATTTCTTACCTTAGTCGGTGCATTCCACCAGTTTGTGTTCTGGACGAGTTATGAAGCGTTGATGATGTTGGGTGAAATCCTTTCTCGAAAAGAAAACTAATCAGAAATCTAAAATCCGAAGCGAAATCCCACGAAAAGTCAGTCGAAACGCAAAATCAAACGCTTAATTTCAAACGAAGAAAAAAAATGCAGTTTCGAAACTAATATTCGACAATAAAAAAGTCACATAAAATAACGATAAAAGCAAAATGTTTGCAACGAAATCTCAAGCAATAAATGAAGAATCGAACTGTGATTCCAAACAAAATGAAACACAAGACCAAAGAAATATATAAAAAATGTTTCATATCAAAACAACGAATTCAAGCAAGAAACGAAACGATTTGAAGCACATGAGATACGCACCTTCTCTTGCATAAGCGGTTGAAAATAGTTTGTTAAGGTTTTCCTGATAGATATAAATGAAAATAATAAAATTAATGGCGTCTCTATATCGCAATATCTTGCACACTTTAATATGATCAAATAACAGAAAGCAGTCTAACCGGCTCTCCGAAGCTCTTTTTGGTTGGCGTGAAATTATGCCGATGCATCTCATACGCAGGGCCAAGCTTAAAATGAGGATGGATTTTGTTCTGAAAGAAAATAAAAACAACAACAAACAAACAAGGTCATTTCAGCTACTTCACGGCTTTAGTAGGATTAAATACAGCTACGTTGTTGTGACGAATGCACGACCGAAGATCACTATGGATAATATTTGATGATCAGATTATCATACACCTACCTTGTCACGTATTAGTCGTAGATAGCTTCTGAGGTCTCCATAACGACAATATTCCGTGATGAGACACAGGGGACCCCCCTGAGTAACACATCCCAGCATACTAACAACGTTGAGATGTTTTCCTATGTGCTTCATCATGGCGATTTCAGCGAGAAAATCCTTCTGATCATCGATCGTTGCCATAGCTGTAAAACAGAAACAAACAATAGATTGTCGCCGTTAATTAGGAATACAGAACTGGAAAAAAATCGCGCACTTTAAGTTGTAAATTTGATGCAGTATGCCAACTTCGACCAAGGGGCCTTTTTTCCGCCTAACCCCACCACCCCAAAGTTTGGAGTTTGGCAAGACAAGAAAAAGACATGTTATTGGAGATTTATTATCATCACCTTTCAAAGTCTTGACGGCAACCACCAGATCACTTTGGTCGGGGTAGGCTGGTAACGAGCTTACACGAGCCTTRCATACTGTACCAAATGCACCAGACCCAATCTCCTCACCGAGTACGATCAAATCGTAGCTGACTTCCCATTCGTCTGCTTCACCAATGGGTAGTATCAACCTGATAACATCAAATACGTACACTTTGGGCTGAGCTATTTCCTCACATATCCTCACTGGGAACGAATGCCACTTTATYAAGGTTCAGTTCAGGTTGCGTTTTTTCTAAGATGTAAAATCTGTTTTTATGTTTTCTTAGTAATTCTGCATGATTATGTTTAGTGGGTATAAGAAAGTGCCATGACTCCAGGCCATTTCTCAATGTTTTTTCTAAATTCCAGATTGATTCAAGCGTTGAGGAAAGCGTTTGCAAAAAAAAAAGAAACAAAGAAAAACATACCCTTCTTCGAGGAACTCTTCACGTAATTGTATCCTCATAGCTTTAGCCTCACGYTGTCTTCGTTTCTTGTAAAGATACCGTCCTACGGCYAATGAAGGCAACACAAGGGCCAGMAGAACACCAATTRCAATCAGATGACTTGAGTCTTTGTTGTACTTTGTAACAACATACGGGGTAATGATGCTTGTGTTTGATTYATTGGTCGGGGGAACTGGAAAAAAGATAAGACAAAAAGCATTCGCAATGCATACGGACATACATCCCCAAATCCGCAGATTCTAGTATSGTATGGGAAAGGTATTAGCWTGAGCAAAACAAGAACTGAAAACTAGCGGATTAAAGYAATCATTACGTACAAGGTGCAGTAAAAGACAGCAATGTTACTTTCCCTTCGCCAAAAGTTGAATTTGCAGAAACCTGAGATAGAAGTAAAAAGGTTTAATAGGGGCAGCGACGCCATTTTGTACAGCAAAGGATGATGGTAGTTGTAGTCTTTGTAGCTCTTTATCACCAGTTTTTGATTTTCTAAGTTTATAAAAAGAAAAGTGCGAGGACTACAACTACCATCATGCTTTGCTGCACAAAATGGCGTCGCTGCACGTTGACTATTCCAGTGATTTCTAATGAAGATTTGCCGATTTATCAGACTTACCCTGAGATTGTACACCAACCCAGTGTTGACCTCAAATTCACAAGTCGTGTTGTTCTGCCAAGAAGAGTATTCATCTATCAGTTTATCATTGATTTGGAATAGAAAAATTCAGAAAATCGTTAAACTTCTAACCGGGTTCAAATACAGAACGTCCGAATATCTCTTTAGCTCGTGAGGCAATATGTTTTTCTGTACTGCAGCTGACCTCCAACAAATTTTATAACCAGTAATTGACAAATGAAGAGATGTCACTATAGGTGGTTGCCATGTTACTGTTGCTAAGGAAGTGCCGTTTCCAAGGTAAATTAATGACGTCACGCTGACGTTTCTTAGAGGTCCTGGAAGTGATAATGGTGGGGAAGTATGCACTGGAAGAGAGAGAATAATATAAGGAATGAAAGATATCGGTAAAGAATGGGAGAAATTTCTTTGATACGCTGGCCTGGTTGGACTGCCTGAGGTTTTCAATCAGTAAGCATATTTAGTTGGGTTAATGAATGCATTGGAACTTACCCGGCAATGACTGATTCTTATGAGTATTCTCATGTGTTTTGTTGATAAATGAGAGGACCGCTATAAACAAAAAGAAAGAACTGAATCGTAACTGAGACATTTTATGGCCCCCCTCCAGTTGACCGTGTTTATTCTTTGACAAATAACTTACATGGCGTCCTCATCTTTATCCTTATCTCCCTTTCATGACCTTGGGTACCTTCAGAAAAAATCTGCAAAGGAGTAGCGAGAGACATTTTAAAATATACTTTCGAATACAGCTACTCTCTTGAGATCGAGGCTTCGGGTTGTCATACGTTGTTTTTTTTTGAGTTTTACAGACGATTTATCGATGTTCGACATAATAGAAATATTGACGCAGACCTGCTATTTACCTTTAAGACATATGGTTCATCTACTTTCAGGTTTTTGAATGTATGTTGGAATATAAGTCGATAATGATGGTCATATTTGTTATGCTGAAACCAGATGAAGAATTCAATGAAATTGTGCAAAAATGCAGAACAACAAATTTAGATTATATATCTATTATTTAACAGTTAAACCACAATGTCGAATTTTAATTAAAATAGTCTTTACTCGGACGAATGGACTATCTACTCGTACTTCACGATTAGATACCAAACTATATGGCAAATGTGACCATGAAGAACAATTTTTYTCGACAACTTTTGCTCCATTCGATGCGTCTATCGGTAGCCAATCAGAATGCGGGATTTGTAAGACCAAATAGTTTACTAGTATGTACTATTTCTGTAATAGATGCCATTTACCTCTTTAAATGAATATAACTTTGACTGATATGTATAAGAATCAAACAGGTCCAGCTTGTAGTCACATGGTTTGCCTGGAAAAAAAGCAAAGAAAAAAATGATTAAGAAAAAGCAATTCTTCAAGTTTTCAAGTTACGTCACAGCGGCCATCTTGGAGGAACTTTAACAAAGGATTTCTCATTAGTATCTATTGTTCATTCCTCCAACATGGCCGTCGGTCTTTTATTTTTGAATCTCATGGGAATGGGTGAAAACGATCAATAACTTTCCTTCGACTCGTGGGATCGTTCAGAGGGCATAATTTAACGACTTACGACAAAACGAGAGTCGCATGCGTCTGATGGACCGATAAATCCTAGGATTATTTCCCTAAGGCTCGTATTTTAAGCACACGTTAATCGGTCTTATATGACTTTCGACAAATCGTAAGTTGAACGCATCTGAGCACCAACAAATCGTAAGATCATTAATACGTCACGATTTTGAATCAACTTAAATCGTCCTAAAGATTCCTTATTCTTACTTGGGCTGGGCGGGGTCCAAGTGATGACACTGTCCACGGTGGCTTCTCGGTCGGATTTTGGGTTCAATGTGTATTTGATTGTATAGTTTTTGACTGGTTGTAGATATGACATATTGTAACCTGGTGTGAGTAAAAACAGTGGTTAATTCGACTTTTATTTTCGACTTTCAAGATGCCGCTTTGAGCTGTACAATGGAGTATATTTTTTATGTGATGCTAAAAAACGTTTACTTTTTCGAAAAGAGAAAAACATCTTGCGTCGAGCTAAGATTTCTTCAACCAAAGAAGAGTTATTTATCGTCTTGAGAACAAGTCCACGTATGGATACCATAGCAACAGCGATTTGAAGACTGTCGATGCTTTCGAAGGTCATCATTAATTGGTCGAACTAGAAATAAACAAACATTTCGAAACTCCAATATAAATTGCTCTTGAAAAATGTTGGAATGTTAGTCTGGGAGTGTTATTGCTGTCAAGGTATAACCAAGAAAGAGTTGACTTGGTTTTCTGTGTCTCGACGAGATAGATATTTATCTAGGCAAGTTACTTTATATAGCGCATATATCGCTTTCTTTATCGCTGCATCAAATCATAAAGACTTCTTATGACACTTCAACTTACAAAAGTAGTTCGCCATTCTCCAGAGACATGTTTTCTGAACAAGACAATAAACCCGTGAGGTTCGTTGATAGCACTGTAGTTGGTATATCCAGCGTCGATTTGAAGAATGATACTGTCCCGGTTACGGCAGCCAAGGGACACACCATTTAATACCGCATGATTGCTTTTATCCACTGGGATTGATTTATTGTCTAAAATAGGAATTCAAGTAAGTGATATAATTTTGATCCTCAAAAGGTGGAGCCTCAGAGGATGTTTTCGTAGTTGAGAAGTACTATGTACTATGCAATGTTGGTTTACGAGCCTTATGTATTAGACTGGGAATCATGAATCGTAGTGATAACAGTCCCAATCACATATTTCAAAATGTGCACTCACCACCATAAGATATAACGTCATTCATGATTTTACAACCTGCTACACACGCAAAGCCAGATTTATTCTATAAAACAAGGATATAACAATGTTTATATTCAATCCGTTATGTTTTCCTCGATAAAGTGAATGGAAATGGCGCTATTCGTCCATCGGGTAAAATTTTCTGTATAAAGACTTGTCTTGGTAAAAAGTGCATATTCATTCATGGTCTACTTCATTTTGTTGTTACCTGTAGACGACAATACTTTAGACAGTCAGCCAAATTGAACGTCGACTCGTCAAAATCTTCTCTCACATTTAAACACTGGAATTTAAAATACAACACATAAGTGAGATAGCTCGGGATTCCTGTGGGTTCCAACTACCTCGACCCAATCTCCYCCATCCGTCACAAAATGGGATCCAAAAAACAAAAGGTGACACAACGCCTGGAATCGATTTCTTTTAAAACATCAAGCTTTACGTGCTAACATTCCACCAATAAGAAACTCCTTAGATATCACGTGACATATCTACCACCGTTCCCCAATAGGAAATCATGTACCTGATCACGTGATAAAGCTGAATGTCATTTTCTACCAATAACATGCTCGTWTAAACCATACCTGTTTACATTCTTTACTTTCGCATGTAAAAGGTATGTATGCAAGATCATCMTCTCCCTAGAACAGGTCACACAAATGCCTCATTTCTCATGAATTATTTAGTGCAGCATAAACGGGAAGGAAGATGAAGATGGGAGAGCGGCACGAACATTAGGTGGAGAACGAGGAGGAGAAATGAGAAGGAGTTAGGACTGAAGGGAAATTAAAAAGAAGGATTCGTTTCGTCTCAATAAAAATGAAAGGAAAGGAATTCACGAAAAAAATGAAAATCAATTATGTCGAGTAGTGTCCCTTCAATGAAAGGCCGTGASAATTTAGAAGATCTAATTAATCAATTCCGGGAACTAATTACTCTTTAATTCTAAGATGATCGTTAGAATCATCCGCTCTAAGGTCAAATATAGTAACAGCTCTAAAAGAGGTCTCACAGAAATATGGATTTTATCTGCATGCTCTTAATATGCGGATTTGATAGACCATCGAAGAGGTAGCAAAGATTACATGCTTATAGTAATGATTCACGAGATTAAGCCAATTGTAATGACAGGAAAAAAGATTTCTTTAAGTTAATAATGGTTTTTCCATTGCTAAGCTTTTCGTATTTTTTTCATCTATTCTTTTCTTTTCTTTTCTGAGGTACTATATACCGGAATTATTTTCGTGAGCTCATCCTTGCATGCACTTGCATTGAACTGACTCATTTCAGTATTACTCTAATGATCGGATTTTCACCGATTACTAATTGGTGAAAATCCGATCATTAGAGTAATACTGAAATGAGTCAGTTCAATGCGAGTGCATGCAAGGATGAGCTCACGAAAATAATTTCGGTATATACCAAATTTAGTTTAACAATATAATGAACAAAGGTGACACTTCATATTAAATGACGTGCGAAACATGGATAACACAAAAACGCAATGAAGAACATCGAAGAAAAGCATCAAGAAAATTTACCTGTGAGCTTATGATCTTGCAAATGGCATATTAAAGGCTATTTCAATTATTTCAATTTGAATAGCTATTGTTGAGAATTTGGACTAGAAAGCTAATCATTATAATTTCAAAGGAAGATCCTTCATAAATGTTATCTAGCTATCTTGAAAAAATAATCGCTAATTCGGAAAATGTGACTTAAACACCATGTATCTGGATTATATAAGTTTTCTAAACCAATAGATAATTTTTTTGCTGCAGTCATTATATTTTAAAGAACTTGATTGGAAATATTCTCTTTGAATTTTACAAGTGACAAAATGGAGGGTAAATCGATCCCTCGATCGATTATCAAAACAAAAGAAACATAGGCTTACTACACTGCTAATTGTTGCTTAAAAGACTGGACCATTTAACAAAATGGTCCGATTTTTCTGGAAACCATTAGTATCTTATTAATTCCTAAATACAGTATTTATATAACATGATAGAGACAACAACATTAAAGTGCGAAAAGGATCGCTGATATCCAGCGCCGTAGCTACGATCGGGCAAGCGAGGCACTTGCCTCGGTAAATTTTTATCGAGTTTTCTTTAATACGTATCCAAAAGAAAAAAGTTCGATCAATATGCTTGGCAAAAAATCGGCAAAACGCTGTAAATTGTAAAATGTTTCGGGGAAGCATGCCCGCGAACCCCCTAGATACGACCGCTTCCGCCGGTCGCGTCCTCGGTTAACATTTTCCTCTGGCTACTGCGCTGATATCATAAAGACTGATTTACACGGCACGACTGTCTTGTGCGATTTGTAGTATACGACTTGAATCGCGCAGTGTAAATGCCCCTACGACTTGTCTAC